TGTAGGAACCTCCAGGAGGACTAGCCAACAGACAGAAACAATAGGTGACTTAATTAACTCAATTAACAATAGGACAAAGACAATGGTAAACACATCACACCTTAGTAAACAGATTACAGCAAGAAACTTCAGCAGCTGAATCCTCGCAGTCTCCCCAATTTGGCCACTGAGTGCATGCAGGTCTTTTCCTTGGTGCAGGTCTAGCTAAGAGAGCCCTTCTTGTAATACTCTGGTGTATCCAATGTATCTGCATTAGAATTTATCCTCAGTGAGTCTTCCTGGCTTCCATCATCATCTAGGATTTGCTTTTTCACATCCCAATCTATTCCCAGATCTTTCGCAAATACTGGACAGGGAAATCTGAGTGAAATTTCAGACCAGAGCATCTCTGAGCTGAGGGACTCATGTATCCTGGGTTTTGCTTGTACCCTGGTAGTTCCATGGTATCCTTACAACCTTATCTATGCATTTGTCAGTGAGGCAACTAACTTGACACTTATGTGGAATAAGTTGGAAGGAACTCCTGTCATCTTCATGACTCCAGGTTAGCCCAGTAGGGCATGGGACATCTGGATTGACCCCCCTATTTGCAGACACTCAATGCTGTCTGCTGGTTCATCTGGTTCTACTGTCCAATCTTACTCTTTGCTTCTTAGTCATTTGCTCTAATAGCATGTTTACATAATAAATGTTCACAGAGAAGACATTACTGGGAATGGACTTCCCCTTCTCAAAAGTCCACAAGGTGTACCACTGTAGCTGAAAAGACTATTGTCTTGACTATTGGCATTTTGAATCTCTAGGTATTCAACTTTGCACCTCCCCAAACAGTAGAAGCCAAAAATGTCTCCGGCAGGAAGTAGATCAGCAGTCTACGGTAAGCACTATCTGAGGACAGGTCTTGACCTTGGCAATTCTTTTCCAGCGTCCTATGGCACTTTTACTTTGGTGACTTAGCTCCTGCATTATACTGGGGGTAACTCATATCTCCTCTTCTCTCATCCTCAAAGTATCCTCTTGAGCCAGGGGATCCCAAAATCATATTTGAAATTTTTTTTTTTGTTGATCCTGCTCCAAAAGTAGCCTTTCTAGTGAGCTACTACTTCAGCCTGGATGGTCCCAGAGGCTTTTTCTGACCAGCTTGTTGTCTCATCCATTATAAGAACTGTCTTGTGATCCAATCTTCCTTCTACCTAAGGTTTTTTCCTCACTCCATGTTTTTCCTCACTTATCTTGCTTTGCTCAGCTGAGGTTCACCAAAAGGAGGTTGCCATGTGCTGCTATTGTATGTGGTCATGGCCATCAGGATATCCTCAAAGGTCACTTCTTCATTTCAGTTGAAAGATTTCTTATTTTTTCCCCTCTGATGGTTCTCCTGAAATCGACTTGCGACATCCTCTGCTACTATATTCAGATGGCTTTGCCAGACCATTTCTCCTGCCTATGCTCTTTAGCATAATGATTCTCTATTCCCTGCTCATTCCATTAGTGCACAGAATACTTTGTGGGCTTTTGTCTTCAGATCTCTGTGTCTTTAGTGTGTAAGAGTGACATGTGCTCACTCCACAAAGAGCTATTTTGCTCTTTAGGATTAAATTCACAAAAAATACTGCTGAAATAAGAGTTATTTAATTGAAATGTGCAGTATTTTATCTCATGACATTTATTATTATTATACAGGATTTATATAGCGCTAGCAGTTTGCGCAGCGCTTTACAATATAAGGGAGACAGTACAATTACAATAAATTTCAGTACAGAAGGAATATGAGGGCCCTGGTCATGGAGCTTACAATCTAAAGGAAGGGGCAGGTGATACAAAAGGCGATAGCTGCAGGGGATGATCTGGTGGAAGTGATTCAAGTACAGTTCTTAGGTGTAGGTGGGGTAGGCTTCTCTGAGTAAGTGAGTTTTCAAAGATCACCTAAAGACAGACAGGGTGGGGGCTGACCGGACATGCTGTGGTAGGGAGTTCCAGAGGATGGGAGAGGCTCTGGAGAAGTCTGGGAGGAGGTGATGAGGGAGTTAGAGAGGAAGATATCTTGGGAGGAGCGGAGTGGTATATTTGGCCGATATCTACGGATGAGGTTGGTGATGTAGCTAAGGGCAGTATTGTGGATGGCTTTGTAAGCTGTGGTTAGTATTTTGTATTTTTACGTTGGGTTAGTGGAAGCCAATGAAGAGATTGGCAGAGAGGAGCAGCAGTCACTGATCGTTTGGTAAGGTGTATGAGTACAGCAGCAGCATTCATAATAGACTGAAGGGGGAATAGCCTGTGTAACAGTAGACCAGTGAGAGGGAGTTGCAGTAATCAAGGCGGGATAAAACCAAGGCGTGGATAAGTTGTTTTGTGGTGTCATTGGTCAGAAAGGGGCAGGTTTTGGAAATGTTCCGGAGGTTGAGGCAGCAGGATTTAGCCAGTAATTGGATGTGGGGCCCAAAGGAGAGGTCAGAGTCTAGGATTACACCGAGCACCCTGGCATGAGGGGAAGGATCAATTGTTGTGCTGTTGATCTTAATGGTAAAGTCATGAGTGGGGGATCGGGGGGGGAGGAAATATTACAAGCTCGGTTTTGGAAAGATTGAGTGGTGTGACATCCATGCTGATATGTCGCTTAGTAGATTTGTGATACATGAGGAGATTGAGGGGGTGAGCTGGGGAGTGGAGAGATAGATCTGGGTGTCATCAGCATAGAGATGGTATTGAAAGTCATGGGAAGATATCAACTGACCCAGGGAGGAGGTGTAGAGAGAGAAAAGGAGAGGCCCAATGGCCATTGGTTTTAGCAGTTTGTAGGTCGTTAGTGAGTTTTAGTAGGGCAGTTTCAGTGGAATGTTGTGGGCGGAAGCCAGACTGTCGGGGATCAAGAAGGTTGTTGTCAGCGAGGTAGCAATTCATACGGTTGTGAACAAGGCGCTCGAGAAGCAAACGGGAGGTAAATGGGAGCAGGGAGATGGGTCTTAAGTTATTTAAACAGGTGGGGTCCAACGAGGGTTTTTTGAGTATGGGGGTAACCAGTGCATGTTTGAGCGGGGAGGGAAAGGTGCCCATGGAGAGTGAGAGGTTGAAGATGTGGGTTAGAGAGTTTAGGATAGAGCAGGAAGGAGGCTGCAACAGTTGTGAGGGGACAGGATCCAGGGGACATGTGGTGAAGTGGGCCTTGGAAAGGAGTTTGGTAACTTCCTCGGTGGTAACAGGGTTGAAGGAGGAGAGTGTTGAGTGTGGTGTTGGGCCTGGTATGTTGGCTGGAGGAGGAAGCTTGACACTGGAGATCTTGTCACGAATTGTGTCGATCTTGTTCTTGAGATGACTGGCAATCTTCTGTGCAGTAAGTTTGTGGGTGGAGGCAGTGGGGGGTGGAGTAAGGAATTAAAGATAGAAAAGAATTGAAAAGGATTGGATGAGAGGGCCTTGATGAGAGTGTTGTAGTAGGTTTGCTTAGCAGCGTGGAAGCTGGAGTTGTATTTGAGATGAGTGGATTTGTAGAGGGTAAAGTAAAGACTTTACCCTCTACAAATCCGCTGTTCTCAAATACAGGGATTTAGTTTTACGTCATGCTTGCTCAAGAGTGCGGCTGCGTCTCTTTAGAACTCTGGTGTCATCTATTTGCCAGGGTTGTGACAGGCGAGGCCTGGTTCTGCATGTAGAGAGAGGGAGCAAGGACACCCAGGGAGGATGATAGATAGTTGTTGTAGGCAGATGTGGCCAGGTCTGGCCAGGATAGGGGTGAAATTTTATCATAGAGGTGCTCAGTAGCAGAGTAAAGAAGGTCAGGGCTGAGGTGGTGGAGGTTTCTACAGTTTACTGGTTGGAGGCTTGGGAGGTAGGAGGCAAGGAGAGTGTGTAGCTGATAAGGTTGTGATTATAGAGAGGAAAAGGCGTGTTAGAGAGGTTATAGGGAGTGCATAGGTGGGAGAATACTAGGTCGAGGGTGTTGTCGTTGGAGTGGGTGGTGGATTGCGTCCATTGTGCTAGGTTAAAAGAGGAAGTTAGGTTGAGTAGTTGAGAAGTGGCGGAGGTGTGAACATTGACTGGGATGTTAAAGTTACCAAGGATGATGGTAGGCACCTCAGAGGAGAGAAAGTAGGGTAGCCATGCCGAAAAGTCATCAAGAAAGCGTGAAACTGGGCCCGGGGGCTGGTAGATGACTGCGATCCTCAGACAAACAGGAGAAAAGAGACGGATACAGTGCACTTCAAAAGAGCAGAGGGACAGAGCCGGAGGGGCAGGAAGAACCTGGAACGTGCTTTGTCCGACTGAAGTCCGACTCCACCCCCTTTTCATCCACTGGGTCTGGGCGAGTGAGTCCAGAGGAGGCCAACATGGGAGATTGCAGCTGAGGAGACAGAGTCGGAATCCTGGAGCCAGGTTATAGCAAGTAGATTGAGGAAGTGGGAGAGGGAAGAGGTCATTGATAGTAGAAAGTTTGTTAGAGGCTGAGTGGGCATTCTAGAGGGCACATAAGAGGGAGGGGCCGGAGCGTGGAAGCAGGTGAATTAAGATAAGAGAGTGAGTGTTGTGGCTGCGGCCAGAGAGGGGGAGGCAGCTGCTGCTGCTTCTGTGAGTTGGAGTTTGATGGTGGAGGGCCAGGGTTTGGGGTGATGTCTCTGGAAGATTTATATGAGGGCAAATGCAGCAGTGATTTTGTAGTGGTGAAATTATGTGGACCAAGTTTGAGCAGGAGATAAGTGCAATGATATTGAGAGGGCAGAAGTGAGGGTGATATGTACAGGTTGTGGGGTGGGGAGGAGGGGAAAACAAGAGGGAGTTTGAGAAGAGAGGGCATTATAGCAACAGTTAGCAAGAGCATGCTGGAGAGAGGAGAAATAACAAAGGAAGGCTGAAGGAAAGAGGTAAGAGAGGAAGGAGCACTTGCAGGCTACTTGGGGTGGAGCACTAATGTTTGTACTTGCCTTAGTCAAAGTGCAGTGTTTAAAGTGCCATGCACTTAGCGCTGTAATGACACTTTGCACAAGGAATGCCAGCCTGTCCCCTCGCACAGGGGCGGACTGACCATTTGGAAACTCGGGCACTGCCCGAGGGCCTGGGGTCAGCAGGGGCCCCCAAGAGATGCCCCTGGTACCTTTTTCATAGGCTTTTTTGAGTTTGGGCAAGGACATATGGGCCCCATGATTCCCTATTGCCCGGGGGCCCCATGAGTTGTCAGTCCGCCCCTGCCCTCACACATGATATTCAGTAGGATGGACACAGTGGAGATGTATTAGAACCCCTGTTAATTTGTATTGCTGTCTGTGCCCCCATTAGGAAGATTCACTACCTCTATTGTTACTGTTTTTCCCTTATTGTTAAAGTGAAAGGAAAATAATTCCCCACATTGCGGGTTGACATTGAACACTAATAGTGGAGAAATCGCCTCAATGGGACACAGATGGCAAAAGAAACTGCCAGGGGTTCTAACCCTCCATTACTCTGTCCAAAATTAAAAAGAAAGTAATTTTTGCTGTGATATTTGGGAACTCACTGCTATATCTTTGGACAGGTCTGTTTTGTCTTGTTAGAGAATAGCCATTGTCATTTTGTGATGTTCTTGAAATTTTCACTTTGATATCCATTTTGTCAAACCTTCTAATTTTATGACACTGATGACACCCCACTCCTAACAGCTCATGTTGAAAACCTTTGTAAGGATACTTGTCTATTCCTAATCTGATTCTGTTTTGTGAATATTTGCACCAAAGATATCTCTAAAAATAATTGTGAAACGTACAGTATTCCCACTATATATGACATGTTCTTACAAGTGATTAGACCATTGTGATATCCATGGACATTGTAGTACATATAGAAAAATATTCTCCTCTGGAGATGGGACATTAAAGGGTGGCACTAGCCAATGAGCCAAATATCAAGAACAAAACCACTATCTAAACAGCACAATAGTTTATTAATACAAAAGAATAAAATGAATAATGATATTCAAAAAGTGTGATTACAAGAAATACAATTGGTAATCATACATTCGACTCATTTTGAGATTACAAATTCTCTTCTACAGGGATGTAATATGTGACTATAATTGTATTTTATAATGTAAAAGTGATACACATTAGTATCTTCATTAGATAGGGTATTAGAAAGTATTAGGTATTAGAAAGTATTAACCCGTAATTGCCAACTTGTTGGATATAACCACATAAATATGTTAAGATAAACAGGAAAGATAATACTGAAATGCAGAAAATTAATGTTGTCTGGGTACACCATTTACCGCCAATGCCACTGGGGTCACCATATGGGACCAGGAATGGAAAAACCTCCTATGCTATAAAGTTTAATAATAGCACAAAATGAGTGTGCATAATACCTAAGATTTAAATTATATACACAGAACTGAAATACAACTTACGTACAAAAAACAGTAGTCTATTATTAAAGGACTATATGCCAGCACTGAGGTATATACATAACCCAAAGGGACATTCAAAAAAGGAAAATTTGTGGTGGAAAAGCTGTAATAATCCCAGATGAAAAGGCCCAATGTATATGCGATGGCAACAGAGAAAGGTTACCATGTTACTCATTAATAAAGGACTGAATGATATAAAACCAAAAAGAACTGCATCTAATAAGGCAGCAATAAAGATGTAGTAATGCCCAGGATAGTGATTGATAACATACCTTTGTCCAATGATGTACAATATATGGGAAGACAAGATGGTGTGTCCACATGCAGCACAGCAATGATGGTGTAATAAGACAGCTTTATATAGTCTAAGTGGGAATTCAAAAGTGACCAATCCAGCCCAAGGGAGTGAAAATGTGGCCTATTAGGGGCCATGTAAGTAAAGACTACGTGGGGGAACCAGTCCCAGCTCACTAGCACACCCCCCGGAAGACATGGCGTGTCTAGATGGGAGGAATTCAAAAGTGACCAATCCAGCCCAAAGGGAGTGAAAATGTGCCTATTATGAGCCATGTAATTAAAGACTGCTTGAGGGAACTAGTCCCGGCTCACTGGCAAGCCCCCCGGCAGATGTGGCCCCTCAGGACGGAATTACATCATGCTGTCGCTGGCACATGAAGGGCAGCGCTGATCCAGAGTGAGGCTTGGACCACACAAGGAGGGCCAAGCATCAGTCCAGACACAGGCACGACCAGTGGTACCAAAAGGAAAGGGCCACCATTGCCATAGCGACGGATGGCCCACATGCGCCGGGTGGACCACGGCGGCCCCAGAAATCCAGATAACTATGGGAAAAGACCAAATGTGTTGCAATGTTCATTATGAATAAATCAATTATGAAAGCAGATGGTAATATGGGAAGCTATACAAATTCGATCACACAAAAGATGACAATAACAAGATAATATAGTAAACATCAATGGACGGAAAACTTAAAGGGATAACCAGGAGAGATATCCGATTTGGTTTGACATCCAAAGCAGCCAGTGCAAAAGATGTATAAATTATATAGTTGTAAGAATTATTCAAGCTCTAGAGTATGTAAGGATAGCACAGTAAAGGTGGTAAATATGGTCTGAAAGAGGTAGATTCATTTAAGCCTGGAAATGAGGTGGCTCCAAGTTTATGTATCCATCTGAGCTCATGTTGGAGGAGTATCTTGCTCCAAATTCCTCCAACTGAGCCCGGATGTACTTGATCAAGAATAAGAAAATGTATTCATGAAAAAATTCCTTTGTGTATGTCTCTCACATGTTGCCCTAAGGGAAGGTCTGCATTGCAGGATTTCATACTTGAGATGTGGCAATATGCTTGCCTCCAAAACTCAAGTTTTGTCTTGCCTACAGCCTACATAGTAACTATTACAGTCACATTGAAACAAATAAACTACCCCTTTAGTTTTAAAATTTGTGAAATGATGGGGTTAAAATTTCAAACCATGTGGAAGTATGATGGATTTACGAGTATCCATGTATTGGCAGTAATTACAGCCTCCACATTTAAAGGTTCCAAGGAGCCTACAAGGATCACCTCTCATGGTGCCTCTGTGCTCACATTATCGTGTATAGATCTTGCTCTTTTGAAAGTGAAAGCTGGTCTCTCTGATACAAATGGACTTATACTAGAATCAATTGTTAAGAGGTGCCAATATTTTTGGATGATCTTACAAATATTATCTTGTTGACTGGAAAACCTAGTAATGATTCTAGTTGTGTTAACTCCTATAGTGATTTTTTTTTACAATACAATAATTCATATCTAGTTTGATTTATTGCTAATTTAAAAGTCTTCTTTAAATATGTAGGGGAATATCCCCTTGAAAGTAACCGTTCTCTTAATATATCTGCTTCATGTTTAAATGTATGATCTGCAGAGAAATTACGGCATAGCCGCAAGTATTGACTGTAAGGTATGGAATTCACCAAGGGTGTGGGATGAAAACTGGACACCTGCAGGATGGAATTCCCTGCCCTGGATTTACAGTATAGACTAGTGGTTAGATGTCCCTCTGCATCTTTAATGACCATCGTGTCCAAAGGTAAAGAATTGTGGTCATAGGACAAGATAAAACTTGAAATCATTGACATTGATGACTTTAATGAAGTCCTCCAAAAGTTTGATTGGACCATCCCAGATGACAAAAATGGCATCTATGTATCTTAACCACATAAGGACGTGGTCCTGGTAGATGGACAAATGCTCAGAATTCAGAACCATACATTCTGACTGCCCCAGGTACAGGTTAGCGTAGGATGGGGAACAATATGTCCCCATCGCTACTCCCTGTACCTGAAGGAAGTGGTAACCATTGAAACAGAAATAGTTGTGATTGAGTATGTAGTTGAGCGCCTCTACAATAAATAGTATATTATAGACTGCATATGTACCTCATCCCTAATAAACAATTCATAAAAAGAAAAAAAGGAACATAATGGGACTTTACTAGGACTTTACTGGTACAGTACCGGACAGACTCGTATTTATAAGTTTACATATTTATTTGAAATACATCTTACAATGACATAATTTAAAAACAATATATGGCTAACCAACCCAAATAGTAATGGCATTACATAGTTAGTCTGGCTGAAAAAGAACAAAAGTCCATCCAGTTCAACCATTAAAAAAAAAAAAAAAAGGTTATAATCCTATACCCACAGCTGATCTAGAGGAAGGAAAAAAAAAACCCCAGAAAAGCATGATTCAATTTGCTCCTGCAAGGGAAAAATGCCTTCCTGATCCCCCGAGAGGCAATCGGATATTCCCTGGATCAACTTTACCTATAAATGTTAGTATTCAGTTATATTCTGTGTAGCCAAGAATAACCCAGGCCTTTTTTAAAGCAATCCACTGAGCTGGCCAGAACCAACTCTTGAGGGAGTCTTTTCCACATTTTCACAGCTCTTACTGTGAAGAAACCTTTCCATGTTTGGAGATTAAATTTATTTTCCTCCAGATGTAAAGAGTGCCCCCTTGTCCTCTGTGATGACCTCAGGGTGAATTAACTCTACACCGAGTTCACTATATGAACCACTGATGTATTTATACATGTTGATCATATCCCCTCTTAATCTCCTCTTCTCAAGAGATAATAAATTCAGTTCCTCTAATCTTTCCTCATAGCTGAGCTCCTCCATGCCTCGTATCAGTTTGGTTGCCCTTCTCTGCACATTCTCCAGTTCCCCAATGTTCTTTTTGTGAACTGGTGCCCAAAATTGAACTGCATGTTCCAGATGAAGACTTACTAATGATTTGTACAGGGGTAATATGATATCTCTCTCTCTGGAGTCTATACCTCTTTTAATACAAGATAGGATTTTGCTTGCTTTAGAAACTGCAGCTTGGCATTGCATGCCATTATTAAGCTTGTGATCTACCAGAACTCCCAGCTCCTTCTCCACCATTGATTCCCCCAGGTGTACTCCCCCTAGTGTGTATGATGTGCATATTTCTTAGCACCCAAGTGCATAACCTTACATTTATCAACATTAAACTGCATTTGCCACATACAGTAGTTGCCCAATTAAACAGTGCATTGAGGTCGGCTTGTAAGTTGGAGACATCCTGTAAGGGCGTTATTCCACTGCACAGCTTGGTGTTATCTGCAAAGACTAAAATGGTATTTTTAATCCCAGACCCTATATTGTTTATAAATAAATTAAAAAGTAAGGGTACCAACCACTAAAAACCATAGACCATTCAGAGTATGATTCATTAACCACTACTCTCTGTATACAATATTTTAGCCAGTTTTCTATCCATTTACATATGGATTTTTCGAAGCCTGTAGACTTTACCTTACAAATTAGCCATGTGTGAGGAACTGTGTCAAACGCTTCTGCAAAATCCAAGTATACCACGTCCACAGCCACCCCTCTGTCCGAAGTTTTGCTCACCTCCTCATAAAAAGAAATCAGATTTGTTTGACAACTTCTGTCTTTCATGAATCCATGCTGTCCGTTGCTAAAAATATTTTTTTCCAGCAAGAACTCATCTATGTGCTCTTTTATTAAACTCTCCAGGATCTTGCCAACTATAGAAGTTAAACTAACAGGTCTATAATTACTTGGTAAAGATTTTGACCCCTTTTTAAATATTGGCTACACATTGGCCAATCCAGTGGTACTATGCCAATCATCAAAGAGTCCCTAAAAACAATGGCTTTGAAATGACAGAGCTCAATTCTTTAACCATAAGCCTACAGGACACTTATACCCCCTTTCTGCCCAGGCCAATTTCCAGCTTTCAGCACTGTTGCACTTTGAGTGACAATTGCGCGGTCATTCAACACTGTACCCATATGACATTTTTATCTTTTTTTTTGTGACAGATAGAGCTTCATTTTGGTAGTATTTATTCACCTCTGTTTTTTTTTTTCTTAAACCAAAAACCACTGAAAATTTTGAAAAAAAAAAAAGTTTTTTTCTTAGTTTTTGTTATAAAATTTTGCAAATAAGTGATTTTTCTCCTTCACTGATGTGCGCGGATGAGGCTGCAGTGATGGGCACTGATAGGCTGCACTGATGGACACTGATAGGCGGCACTGAGGAGGAGGCACTGGTAGGTGGCACTGATGGGCATTGCCAGGCATCACTGATGGGCACTGAAAGGCAGCACTGATATATGGCACTGATAGGTGGCACTGATAGGTGGCACTGTTAGGCGGCACTGACTGGCACTGTTAGGCGGCACTGACTGGCACTGGGTGTCACTGACGGGCACTGATAGGCGGTACTGATGCACACTGATAGGAGGCACTGACTTGACTGGCACTGATAGGCGGCACTGACTGGCACTGATAGGCGGCACTGATTGGCAGCACTGCTAGGTGGCACTGATTGGCATTGATGGGTGACACTGAAAGGCAGCTCAGATGGGCACTGATATGTGGCATTGATGTTGCACTGATGGGCACTGGCACGAGGCACTGATGAGCACTGACAAAAGGCACTGATGGACACTGACAGGTGGCACTGCTGGGGCTACACTGATCATCGGGGCACACTGATCATCAGTGCCCTGATGATCAGTGTACATGTCCCCTCTGCGGAAAGCCGATTACCAGCTCTCCTCTCCTCACGAGCTGTCAGCGTGACAGCTCGAGAGGAGAGAACTGCCGATAACCGGCATATCCCTGTTTACATGTGATCAGCTGTGATTGGACACAGCTGATCACATGACCGAGCCGACATCTTCGGCTCTTTCCGTGATCGGTGATCCGCTGTGTCTGCTGAGAATGGGAGGACGTCATATGAGAACCACCTTGCATCCGTCATATTACTATATGGCGGGCGGGAGGTGGTTAAGGACCCGTGGGTGTATGCCATCTGGTACAGGTGCTTTATTTACCTTTATTCTGTCTAAATATTTTTGAATCATATCAATTGTGAGCCAATGTGGATCATCTGGAGTTGTGTCAATATCATGCCCATTATGGACAAGAGCTTCTCCATGCTCTTTTGTATACACAGAGCTAAAGAACGTATTTAATAAATTTGCTTTCTCTTTGTCCCCAGTCACCCACTCTAGATTATTTTGTAAAGGGCCTACATGCTTGGACTAGACAGTTTTACTATTAATATATTTGAAGACTTTTTGGGGGTTGGTACTGCTATCATTTGCAATCTGTCATTTGTTTTAAATTTTTGCAGCCTTTATTTCCTTTTTGCATATTCTGTTATATCCTTTGTAATGTTTAAACAATGATAGCGTTCCTTCATTTTTATATTTATTAAAAGCTCTTTTCTTATTATCTATAACTTTGGCCGTAAGCCACATAGGTTTGATTTTTAGCCTTATAAACTTGTTGCCCATGGGAATATATTTTGCAGTGTTTTACAGTCTTTGAAGAACTCCCATTTCTGTGTTGTGTTCATTGATGCCAATATTCCCTCCCAGTCTAAGTCTTGGAGAGCAGCTCTCAGTCTTGGAAAATTAGCTCTCTTAAAATTGAGCGTTTTTATTTTTCCTGTATGTGCTTGCTGTTTACAGCTAACAATAAATTAAATCATGTTATGGTCACTGCTACCCAAATGTTCTTTTATATGGACATTCGTAATAAGCTCTGCATGGTTTAAGATTATCAGGTCCAGCAGAGCATCATTCCTAGTTGGGGCTTCTATGAACTGTACCATAAAATTGTCCTGTAGTAGGTTTAAAAATGTTTGCCCTTTAACTGTTCCTGCAGTACCATTACGCCAATCCATTTCCGTGTAGTTAAAATCCCCCATTATTATGACTGTCCCAGACCTTGCAGCCCTTTCGATCTGTGCAAGGAGCTGAGTCTTCACCTCCTCATTAACACTGGGAGGCCAATAACAAACTCCAGTGATTACCCTTGGAGTACGCACCCCCATGTGCAGTTCGACCAGCCTTATCACATCTCACATAGAGACACACACAACCACCTTTCCTATTTACCCTGTCTCTCCGAAATAGAACATAGCCAGGAATATTAATGGCCCAGTCATGTGAAGAATGAAGCCAAGATTCAGCAATACCAATTAAATCATAGTTCTGTTCATGCACCAAAGCTTCCAACTCACCTATTTTGCTTGGCAGACTTCTGGCATTGGTGAAAAAAAACACTTTAATGCATTGACACCTTGTCCACATGTATTTTGCACATTTATTATAGAAATGGTACCAATTTCACTGGTTGTTTGTAACATGAGAACCTTCTTATCTGTCATAGCCCTCTGACATAGGCATTGTCTTTTATAACATTGTATCCTCCAAAAGTTGACGCGTTTCGCTTGTTAGCTTCTTCAGGACCCAAAAATTGGAGGAGAAGATATCAAATGCCTTAGATATTGACATAGACGGTGATGCGGGGCAGCAGCACACACACAGGAAGTCAACAGAATGGTCTCAAGTGAACATCCATGTCCAACGCCCCTTCCAATGTCCCAAGTCAAATGGTATCTTAATCAGGAGACAAGTAACGGATATGTTTATATGTAGATTAATCCATACAGGGTATATTCCATAGATGCGTTCATAGATATGGTCTAATACTCCTACCAAAAAGGCAAGAGAAGGTGCAAAGAAGGCCCAATGCCCAGCCTCAATATTTTGTAATATGAACCCGCTCCTTTAGATAACCATATATATCAGTACAAGATATCTTCTTTATCGGTGGCTACTCTAGATCACTACATGTCACAATCTGCCTGCCATATGTGCTTTCCAATGCCATATATGTCAATATCTAAGGCATTTGATATCTTCTCCTCCAATTTTAATGCATGGACACCTTGTCCACACGTATTTTGCACATTTATTATACAAATGGTACCAATTTCACTGGTTGTAACATGAGAACCTTCTTATCATCTGTCATAGCCCTCTGACATAGGCATTGTCTTCTATAACATTGTATCCTCCAAAAGTTGACGCGTTTCGCTTGTTAGCTTCTTCAGGACCCAAAAATTGGAGGAGATTCTGAAAATCTGCAAAATGAAATGAAAAAATAGATATATTTTATTACATGTAATGGGGTTGATAACAGATTGAGCACTTTGCAAGTGCAATTGCTCCAGAGCTTAATAAAGGAGGGGAAGCTCTGCTGACTTACATCATCCAATCATGTGCTAGCAAAATGCAGTTTTTTTTTTAATTTTCCTTGCATGTGATTGGGAATGCACTGTAAAGTGAAGTTTTACGCCATTTCCTAAGTGCTGCAGCAACTTGCAAAGTGCACAGTCTGTTTGTCTTTAGTAAATCAAACCCAATATTTCTGTGTTTTTCCATATTTAGGTTTCTGTGCATTACTGTTGAGACTACTGATCCAAAAAAGTAGAGACCACTCCAAATTGGATAATATATTTTTACATTCATTAAATACCACAGATAAAATAAGAAATAAAAAACGAGCGCTGGATGTGGAATAAGAAGAGCTGCTAGCATGAAAGGTAAAAACCCCTAAAACCTTCTAAAACACATATACAATAAACATGCAGCGCTAGAGACGTAATATGAGCATAAAATCATATGTAGATAGGTAAAATTCTTACTAATAACATATAAATGACCCTTTGATAACATGCAGGCGCACGAAACATGTTAGGAAGCTGCCTCATAGAGTGACGTCACACCGCACGGCCCATGTGGACGGCCGGCGGCCATCTTAACTAATGTCATTTTGACTTTTAAATCCTTTCCCATAAGGCAGGCATGTCTAAAGTCCGGACCACGGGCCATTTACGGCCCGGGGGTCGGTTTAATACGGTCCTCCAACAGTCCTCCCTGCTCTGTGTAATGTGGCCCTCCCTTCTATGGCAGACAGTCTGCTTGAGAGCAGAGGGCAGTGCGCATGCCTGACTGCAGCGCGCTGGGAGCGACAGAGGGCGGTGACGTCAGGGCTTCCAGCGTGAAGTGTCTCTTCCCCTCCCGGCTGACTTCAGCTCCAGCTACCTCCTCCGCAGGACAGCTGTATTTGGGGTGTGAGACAGACCGCCATTTCATGGGCTGGGATGCGGGGAGCTGGACAGAGGTAGGTAGGGCCCTAGCAGAATCTGTGATGCTGTGGAGTGGTGGAAGTGTGTGAGCTGCTACCAGAGAGCCTGACCGTGTCAAATAACTCAGCTTACACCTGCCAAGGTCAAACAGAAGCAGAAACATGCAGAATTATGCTTGCTAAATATGAACAAGGAACAGATCTCCAAAATGTAATTCCTGCCATATTACTCTCATAAACGTATTTCCAGAAGGGCCACATTTTTACTCTGGCACTGCACCATTCACTCTTCCCCTTCTGGCCAATTTATAAAATGGCGACTAAAAATAAAAAAAGGAAAGTTGACAGTGAGGGCCGCCGTTTCCAGGAAAGGTGGAAAGTGGATTTTTTTTTCACTGAAATACGGAATCACTGTGTTTGTCTGATATGTCAAGAGACTGTGGCCGTTTATAAAGAATTTAATGTCAAGAGACACTACCAGACGAGACATAGCACATACGACAAACTAACAGGGCGCGACCGCGACCGCAGTAAAAAGTTGAAGCAACTTGAAGCGGTTTTAATGTCACAACAGCGATTTTTCACAAGAGCCCATGAGTCAAATGAAAATGTCACAAAGGCAAGCTATGAGGTGGCAACGTTAATTGCTAAAAATTGCAAGTCTTTTGTTGAGGGTGAATTTATTAAAGAGTGCATTATGAAAATGGTTGAGAATATCTGTCCCGAGAAGAAGCAAGAGTTTGCCAACATTTGTCTGGGTCGTAACACTGTAGCACGGAGAATTGAAGATATTTCATCAGATATTAAGAGACAGTTAATGTCCAAAGGACAGGATTTTGACTTCTTTTCAATAGCCTGTGATGAAAGCACAGAACTATCTGACACAGCTCAGTTGCTGATTTTTTTGAGAGGGGTGGATGATGAAATAAATGTGACTGAAGAGCTACTTGACCTCCAAAGCCTTTCGGATCAAACAAGAGGAAAAGATTTATTTGTTGCTGTTAGTTCCGCAATAGATGACATGAAACTGCCCTGGAACAAAGTTACTGATGGGGCACCTGCTATGGTTGGTGAACGAAGTGGATTATCAACCCTAATCTGTAACAAGGTGATTGAAGAAGGAGGCGAAGCTATTAAACTCCATTGTATCATTCATCAGCAAGTTCTCTGTGCTAAATATCTCAAATATGATCATGTTATGAAACCGGTTGTAAAGAATATTAATTTTATTCGCGCTAAAGCTCTGTGCCATCGCCAGTTTAAACAGTTTCTACTGGACATCCAGGCTGAATATGAAGATGTTTTATATCACAACGATGTAAGATGGCTCAGTCGAGGGTCTGCGCTGCAGCGTTTTTACTCTCTCAGAGAGGAAATCAAAGAATTCCTGGAAACAAAGGGGCAACCGATGCGAGAACTATCTGATCCTATTTGGCTGGCTGATTTGGGGTTTTTAGTTGAAATAACAAAGCATCTGAATGTACTAAACACGAGTCTTCAGGGAAAAGATGCAGTGGTAAACCAGCTTTATTCACACCTCAAGGCCTTTGAAAAAAGCTGCAACTTTTCCAAAGGCATTTGTCACGAACACAGCCCAATACCATACATTTTTCAGCATTGCAGGAAGTAATGAACAGTTTTTCACAGGACAATATCAGTGCGCAAATGAGCAGGTATGCAGCAGACATCGCATCTCTGG